ACGGCCCGAAACTCTCGCGGAACTTTTCACTAAGGAAAGGAATGCATTTCTCATAGGTCTTTTTTTTTTCTCTTTCCACTTTGTGTTCCACGGGGTGTTATAAGGAGGGAATTGTTAGGGCATTTTCCAAGCACATGTGCTGGTGTTTCTGGCTCTCCCAAGAGGGACCCAACTTCTCTTACCTGTCCGCTGACACCTGGGACTCCACGCAGGGGTGCATAATTAATATTCAGTTTCAGGGCATTTGACCATTCAGACCCAGAAAGTACTTCCTTATCGTACATGTATTTATTGGCTTTCGGGGTCTCCTTAAAATGGCGAACTCCAATGCCCGGCCACCTGCAATTGGTCCATTCCTCGAATGTATTTTCTCGAAGTGACTACCGTAGAGCTCTCATATTTCTAATACCCCGATCAACTCCCAATCTCTCGGCACATTCAGCAACCTCAGCCGAATAATCGAAAATCGATTGGAATAGGGCATCGGGCACATTGAACAGTTACTGAGCAATGGACCAATGTTGTAGAGGAGCCTCCCATTGGCAGCGGATTAATCCTAATCCTCGATACCTCCTGGGAGCGTATAACATCGCCGTGGAAGTGTTTGCAGGGAGTCCAACAATAGTCTTCACACTCCTGCGAATCATGGTGTCGATGTCGTCAAGTATGGCAGGACGTAGCTTTGTAAGGGGCTCAGTTTGGAGAGGGTAAATAAGACCCGGGAACAGATATTGATTGACAATGTTTAGCTTCTGCTCCGGCTTAAGCAAGGGAGAGGTTACCAGTTTATTGAGATTGTCGTTCAATTTGGTCACCGAATCTTCGTTGAACTGTAGCTCTCCCGAGAATGTACATCCTAAATACTTGATTGTATCTCTATTCTGCAATGTTTGGATGTAACTCCATTCTCAAGGAAGAGCACCGCTGTTTCCAGCTCTCCTTTATTTAGAACGATGCCCAACGCTTTTTTGAGAGTTTATAGCCAAACCAATTTCCTCAAACGTTCTCTGTAAGCTGCCGATGACTTTGTCTGCAGCCCCCCTGTCACGCGCCGACACTGCCTAGTCATCCGCGAAACATGTGAGGACCACACAACCTCGGTCGCTTTTTAACTTATATACAAATTTTTTTGAAAATTCTTCAGCGCACAGGTCGCGATAGAGATGGTCGATGGCCAGATTGAAGAGCGACGACGACAAGGCGCCGCCTTGGGGCACTCCGCGCAGCACTTTGATTTGGCTAGTTGTGTGAACATCGTTACTATCTTGATTGTGTTCGTGCAGAGGAGAGCCGATATAACACGTTTAAGATCCGGTGACACACCTCTTGCTTCTAAGGAGCTCACGATGTGTTTGTGGCCAACATTGTCAAAAGCACCGACAACGTCAAGGAAGACAACCGCACAATCATTTTTCATAATTTTTGCATCTTTTAATATAGCGTAGATAATCCTTGCGTTGACGTGCGTTCCCGGAAGGCCTTTTATAAAGCCTATCTGATTCCTGTGGAAGGTGACCTGCTTTCCTAGTTCGTGGTCCAGAACCTTCTCTATGATTCGGCGCACGATAGAATAAATGGTGATGGGTCTCCAGGTAGAGATATTGTTTACATCACCTTTACCCTTATATATTAATATTGTACGCCTTTGTGGAAGTGGTTCTGGGACATAGGCCACCTTCAGCATTATCTCCGCAATTGTTTTGATAATATTTGCTACATCAAAATATTTAATCGTGCGGATTAGAACTCCATCACCCCCGGTGATGTGTCTATTTAATGGCTTTTTTGATAGCTTCTAGATCAATGGACACCAAATTTGGCATCGGGGCACACTGTTCGTAATTCGCACGCCCGCGGAGATTTTCGTTCTTAAAGAGGTCTTTATAATGTTTTTCGATATCGGCCATCTTCAGAGGACACCATCTGTGTCTGGCCATTCGACTTTTACATATTTCTTTTCGCAGCCTCCCGCAGCATCCACAGACATGACAGAGGCAACAACAGCCTCCTGAGCAGGTCCTTCAGTTCTCAGAACCCATACTCTCTTGCCAATCTCGATTTCATTCATTGTTCTTAGGTCCACTCAAAATCCAATCTCTTTATTCGAGACCATGCGTACTACACGCATGATTAAAACAAACCATTTAAAGAAGAGTGAACTTGTATATAAATAAATAAAAACTAACCAGGAGAGACATGAATATATGCCAACATACACACTTAAATATCAGATTAATATCAAATGCTTAAAAAGAGTTAAAATGTAAAATAAATATAAGCTAAAAAAAATTAAAATCTATAAAATTAATTGCTTAAAAATAAGTTAAAATATAAAATCAATAGAATCCAAGTTAAAACGTTAATCAATAAGTTAAAATCTATCTTAAAACTAAGCAAAAATATATGATGAAGTTAAAATCTATAGACTCTATTGCTTAAAATTAAGTTAAAATATATAAAATAAATTATGGTAAAACGTTAAAATCTACAATTAATATAATATGAGTTAAACAATAAAAGATTAATAAATAAGTTAACAACTAAGAACAAGTTAAAATATACAATTAATAAAATCTAAGTGAAATAGTAATAGATTAATAAATAAGTAATGAATAAAATGAATAAAAAGTTAAATCTATAAAATATATTGTTAAAAATTAAATACACATACCCACGTCCACTGAATAAATAATAAATAAAATTGAATAAATAGATCAAGATTGATTGACTAAACAACAAAATAGGTTGGGCTCTTTCGGTGGCAGCGGTTGGTATTGATAAGGCGACACTGGCCTTGCGGGATGGAGGCGGCTGCTGAGGGGTGGAGGGGGCCGACAAATCCTGTGCTGCACAGCGATAAGAAGCTCGGTCACATAGGCACACTGAGTCATTTACCTTCTGGTCCTGGCCAAGTTCTTTGTTTGATTTTTTCAAATTCAAGAAGCAGGTCTCCAGCATACGGCTTCGCTCACATGTCAAGTTTTGGCTCGATTGGGCTAATAAAACCCTATTAAAAGAAAACCGCCGTGGAGCCAATGTGTCTTTGTCACCGGCTAGAGCCGAACTCATAATATAATAGAATAATATGCTAGGTTCGTAGTTTGTGATTTCAGAGGTACCAATGGTAATGACGAGAGTAATGGAATTATAGATAAACACAGGTTCGTACGTACGTACACAATTATATACACACATGTATACATATATACATATAAGCACAATCCCTTTGCACAATCCCTATAAAGCACCACCCATCCCTATAATCCTCCAAGAAGGTTAAAACGGGAGTGGCCCCGCGACATTTTATAGTTTGTAAATATTGGAGTTCTGGCAATGGCCAGATTCTCCACTCACGACATGAGTGTATGTGGCTAAAGCAGACTTGCTCAATCTCCACTGGGCTTAGCTCCAGTGACGCGGTTGAGAGAGAAGTGCAGGAATCTCCTGGAATCATGCTTTTCCCTCCACAGTTGAAGGGACAAGTCTGGTTTGGAGTTCCCTCGCCAGATTGTAAATATTGCATATAGGTATGTATGTGATCTTTTTATTTATTTATTTTTAGGGTATTTTATTCTTATTTATTGTATATATATTATTTTTCTGTATACTTTATTTTATTAATTGTACATATAGTGTGAATGTGATCTTTGAACACTATTATAAATGTCCTTGAGACAGATTGTTATATTATATATTGCAATATTCCTGAATTTACTACTTACAATTTACCCCCAATCATCCACCAACCAGGTCAGCTATTTTCCCAATAGATTTTCTCCCCACATTTTCTCCCCAGTTTCAACCGAAACTCCTCACTGCATACACGCCTAAGTCTCTATTTCAATTTTTAAAATTTATTTTTATTTATTTTTTTCTCCTTTTCTTCACACCCCCTTTAAATCATTCCTTGAGATCTTTAGGATTGTATTCATTATTACGTATATTATCCATCCTGCTTATTACATTCAAGTTTTCCCTATCTAAAATAATCTACAACAATTGGTAACATTTATTTACTTCAGTTTAGAATCTTGTTACATAATTACACTTCGTTTACTCTGTTTGTATAGTTTATTGTTCTTAATATTTCTAAGTACTTTCTATTCATACTGTTTATACATTTAACAGATTTATTCACATTGTTTATAATTTTTCTAGCCCTCTTATAATCGTTCTAGCCCTGAAGAAAATATGCAAAGTCGGGTCGAAACGATGGCTTGAAATAAAATAGTTTTTCACTTCTTTATTCTTTTTATTTTGTTATCATAACTTTACGCTAATATCGATATTCACAATATCTATAGTGATTATATTTAATGTAAAAAATATAGGTGGCATTGAATGGAATGTTACGCTGTTTTAAGCTGTTACAAGCTGTTACGCGTGTTTTAACATGTATATATGTAATGTGCGTTATAATAAATTCTGTTCGAGTTACTTAATTGTAAAATTTTTTTTATCGAGATCAAATCAATCCAAATCCAACAATTTCAATTTACTTTTCAAGTCACCTTAGGTCAACATTTAATCGCTAGATGTATTAAAATGTTTAATTAAAAACTTTAATCTTCGAACATGAATTTCTTTATAAATCTTAACATACTTATAACAAACGACCTACACTTGTCACAAACATTTACTAAAGCTTACATTATTCAATGTCTTCTATCTAAACATATTTTTTTGAATATCCACTTTACAATGTAAATTAAAATTAATAAGATTTTCAGAATAAATAGGTTTAATAACTATAGTTTACTAATTTTATGATGTAACATACCTGTTAGTGTATAGTTCTGAAGTCTACTTCCGAAATTTATAAGATGTTTACATTTTTATTTCCCAACTGCTCTCTCATCTGATAGGTGGGTGATGTAGTAATATTTTAAAAATAAAATAAATTTTTAACTTAAATATCTGAAAAAAATATATACGGAAAAAGAAATGACTTTTCTAAAATGTCTTAATACAATGTATAATACTGCTTTTCTGGCACATTAAGAGCGCAGTGCCAATTTGTTATTTACATAATAAAAATAAAATAGACTATAATTTAACTAAATAAATAATTATATTAAAATAAGTTTTTTAAGAAGCCAGCTGGTCCAGCCTAAAAAGAAAAAAAAAATATATATTAGAACATTAAAAACATAATTTTAAATATAAATTAATTATTTTAGACTAATAATAATCCAAGAATTTGTTTTCTTTATATGAGAACTGTTAGCATACTATACTATTCATGTACATAGTTTAAACAATGTCTATAATGATATATTGAGGGGTTGATGAACAACACGTTTTTTGTTTTGCTCTGTTTTTAAGGCAGGATGCCAACAATTTTGTGAAATATTTCTAAATACCAGTTTAATTTTTTACCTTATCAACTCACTTATTTATAAATTATTATAGATTGCTATGATTGTATTATTTTTTAAGTATTAAAATATTATTTTATAGAAGTTTAATTTTAAATATTATGTTACATTTATTCACACAAATGCATACAGCAAGCATTTATATGCCTCAAAAAACATAATAATGGCTAGAGTGGACAATTGCTATCTTTCTTTGACCGTCTAGGATGAAAAATGCTTTCTAATACCTAAATAACTTTCCGAAACCTTGATGGTCTTAATCGAGAAAAAATCTTACGCAGCCTGGAAACCCTAGATTAGAATAGAATATATTCCTGTTCCTCAATTGATTCCATGGTTAGCATAATCCTCACCTCCAACCTCCGGAATATCCGTGATACCCATGCCCTCCTCAAAACCTCTACCTTTTGTCACCGTCCGGCTCCCTGGATGTGTCAGAAAATTAAGGATCTTCATAAGAAACGTGACGCTGCCTTTAGACGCTTTAGACATACTAGACTTGCTGACGACTACCAAGATTTTAGGATTCTCCGTAACTTGACACAAACCAGAATCCGATGAGCCATTTCCACGAAGCCCTCTCATCAGCTCTTCATTCCAAATCCAATTGGCTACTCCTCAGTAAACTCTCTGTCATGTACCTCTTTGGAAAAGTTAAACATTTATATATTGAATGTATCATATGTGAAGGCAGTTTCTTACTTTTTGTAATGCTATTAAAATATTGGTTGTTATAAAGATGTGATTATGTGTATTTCTCATGTTTAATTAAAGATATAACAATTGGTGACGAGGTGAAAGTACAAAATTTTTGATACTCAAGTTTCCATAGACTCTTATTTTCAACTCACAGTTTAAATTCTATCTTTACTTTTTATTTTCAAAATAATTCAATTTCCAACCGTAACTATGGATGCAGATCAATTAAAAAAACTATTAGAGGCATTCAATCAACAACAGGCTATGATCCAACAAATTGTTACCAGTCTTGCTCCAGGTATGACAAATAATTCAGATTCTTTACATATTCAGCCATTCGAAAACTTCGATTTGATAGAAGACATATTTTCTTGCTATATAGACCATTTCTAAAATTATTTAGACTTGAAAAATATTAAAGATGATAACAAAAAGGCACAAATATTATCCATTACTATTGGGCGAAAACATTATAATGAACTAGCCGCGTTTCTCGGACCGGAGACGCCCATTAAGTCCTGTAGTTGTAAGGGCTTAATCGAGTTATTTTCTCAATTATTAACTCTAAAAAAAGAGTGCAATAATGGCACAGCATTATTTTTTAAAATATTTACCAAGGGGAACAGACAATATCACAATTTGTAGCTGCACTTCGACGTGATTTAGCAGAATACAAGTTCACAGTACAGTGCTCATGTGAACGTCAAGTATCGGTCACAGATATATCTTTGCGAGCCCAGTTCATAAGAGGGCTCCGTGATGATTGGATTCGGGAGCAATTGTTGCAGGCCACTCTTACCCCCTTCGAGGAAATGCTTGCGAAAGCCTTGGATTTAGAGGCGTAGCGAATAGAAAGCAAGGTATTATCGCATTTAGAATCCAAAAGTACTTCGAGCTTTTGTCAAGATGGGTACGCGATTTCAAATTGTTTCCAGGACCCAGGTTCACGTCCCCATTCTAGCAGTTCTGCCGGCAACCGTTATTACACGAGCAGTTTTTCGGATCGTGGCAGCAGTCCTAGCTCAAAGAGTTTATCATATCGTTCCGGACGCTGCTCTCCTCCTCCCAAACGGAGGCGTCCTGACTACTGCGCCTTAGGATTAGAGGACCTATGTTTGCGATGCGGGAAGCCTAATCATCGGATATCGGACTGCAGGGTAAAACGACAGGATGTTTATTGCGAAGAATGTGGAAAAGAGGGCCATATCGCTACAGTTTGTATTACAAGTCACATGAAAAATTCATACGAGATGAGACCCAGTTCGACTAATTCACTATTCGTTACAGTCCACGATCCACAATCAGACCATAACTATGGCGTAAATAACGTACGACAACTCCCTAGTATGTTATCTAACATCGTAGGTTTATTTGAAATAGTCCCAGATTTCGACAAATATATGGTAACAGTTCGTATCAATAACAGACCCCAACATTTTGAAGTGGACTCAGGAGCTAGTTACACCCTTCTGTCAGAAGACTAATTTGACCAATTGAAATTGAATTCACCAATAAAACCATCAAACATAGCGGTTCGTTCTCATTCTGGAAATTTAATCAGTCCAAAGGGAGTAGTTACTGTATAAGAGTGTCATATAAAAATAAACAAATTGAAGGAGATCTTTATATCGTCCCGAAGGGGCATGCAGCCTTACTTGCTAGACAGTGGATTCGAGGCCTGGGCATTGAATTGAAAGATCTGGACTATGTCGCTGGGCTTACAGGGCAACCTTCTACAGTTAAATCTATCAACTCAATAATCGATGGCGTTATGCATGAGTTCCCAGATGTTTTCGAGGAGAAAGTATGGTGTTTTCCAGGTGTTCAAATCACATTGCAATTACACAAAGATACAAAACCCATTTTTTACAAAAGAGCGAGACGTGCCGTACTCTCTGAGAGATCGCATTGAAAAAGAACTGGACACATTTGAAGCAGCCGGGATCATTGAACCTATATCTTCGACCGAATGGGGATCACCATTAGTGGTTATCCCAAGCCCGACGGAGGGATACGATTATGCGTCGACTATAAATGTGGGGTTAATGAAAGGCTTGTAAATACAAACTACCAAATCAAGCGAATCGACTAGGTTTAAAATAACCTACAGGATTCGAGGTTTTTCTGCAAGCTCAATTTATAAAAAGCATATTTGCATTTCCAGGTGGATGAAGATAGTGCCAAGATCCAGACTATTTCTACCGATCGTTGCACTTTCAAGATGAAGCGACTCAGTTTTGGCATATAAAATGCGCCAGCTGAATTTAATAAACGTATGGCACAAATACTTAGGGGACTATCTTGCGTTGAGGCATATTTTGACGATTTTATTGTTCATGGTCCTACGCAAGATAAGATTGTTTGGAAAATTTACAGGCATTATTAAAAACGATTATGTGAATTCGATTTACATGTTAACCGCGCCAAGTGTGCATATTTTGAAACAAAAGTAGAATATTTAGGGCACATTATCGAATATAATATTATTCGCAAACCTCCAGAGAAGGTCACAGCTGTTCAAGAAATGTCTCGCCTTATTTACATTTGGATGAACTTCGAGGTTTTTTTGGGTCTAATAACATATTATTCCAGGTTCATTCCAGATTTTTCAACAATATCTTATCCTCTCAGGTGCTTACTCTGTAAGGGCAAACGTTTTGTTTGGACTTCAGCCTGCGAGAAAACATTCATTAAGCTCAAAGAAGAATTGTGCAGCGACAGAGTTTTAACTCCATGTAATCGAGATGCGAGCCTGTTCGGAGTTGCAGCAGTACTCATCCATTTCTAAAAGGGAGAAGAAAAACCGATCACCTACTCTTCGCGTTCTTTTTTACTGTTGCGGAACAAAACTACAGTCAGTTGGACAGGGAAGCACTTGCTATAATGTTCGGGATAAGCCACTTTTACAAATACCTATTTGGGAAACACTTCATTCAGTGACGGTCAATGAACCATTGACCCGAATTTTTCAACATAACAGGGCTTTGCCGCCCGACTACTGCGCTATGCGTCGTTTTTATCTGGATTCGACTACACTGTTCAATATAAGAAGGGCGTTGATAACACAAACGTAGACTGTCTATCCAGAGCTCCTTCGAACAATCCATACCAGTTGACGGAAATCTCAATTAGCGATGAGGTAGACCAACTTCTTTTTCAAACGATCTTCCAAATTTCAGGCGACAAAATTACATGGAAAACAATTCAAGAAGAAACAGGAAAAGACTTAGACATGACAATGCTTATCAGGGAACTAAAGAGAAAGTCTTCCACCTCTGCATTTATCTTACACGAAGGTCTGGTGTTCCGACAGGACCGGGTTTATATACCAACATCGCTACGTCACCATGTTTTGCTGGAGGTCCATGAAACACACCTTGGGATCGTGAAGATGAAGCAGTTAGCTCATCGGTACATCTACTGGCCAGATATTGAATCTAATGACCGGGATATTGAAAGACTTGTTCGTGATAGTATGTGTATGTGTGCGTGTGTAGATATGTATATATATATATATATATATATATATATATATATATATATATATATATATATTCCTTTTGCACATAAATTATATTTAGTTTTATTGCAATTTTAATGATTGTAACATAATTTTTTCATTTATATCTTATGTAGGTTTTTATGAGATTTTTCCTACTGTAAAAAATTAATTTCAATTTTCTAAGTATTATTCAAACCACTGTTATGTCAAGTGTAAGGTTACTACAACCATAAACTTGTAACTTATCTGTATGACATGTTGTAATATATAAAAAAAAAATAATAAAATAAATATAAAAAAAAAAAAACTTGTTCGTGGATGGGAGAAGTGTGCTTTGAATACATTAAGCCATGTGAAAGCACCACTTCACCCCTGAGATGAACCCTGTAATAACTCTGAAAGGGCGCACATTGAATATGGTGACCCCTTCGATAATTACCACTTTTTAATCCATATTGATGCCAAATCAAAGTGGGCAGAAGTAAAAGTTTTGAAAAACTCACCTACCAGTTCTTCAACGATATCGCTGTT